AATCCTATAATTGATCAGTTGAACGATGCTTGTTCGCTCTGTAGACGACAGAAGGTGATTTTAAAGCGACAATACTATAATCTCACTATTCTAAACATTTCTCGAGTCTTTGCTTCGTACTACCTCAATCGCACTTTTCAGATCTTAACGCCAACTTCGGACAATTCCAGATGCTACATCGTCTTCAAGGATAAAAGGGGGAAATACTTTTGTGAATTTTGCGCCCCGCTGGACAGTAAAAAGGTAAATAACTCTATTCCTACTACGAATTGACTAAACACATACACAGGCGCGTGTTTGCCTAATATAAAAATAAAAAAAATCGGGAAAAAATCAAAATTTTTTTTCGGTTCAAGTAGAAATAAATTTTATATTAAAAAAAAATTTTTTTAATTTTTTTTTTCAATAAAAAAAATTATTTGCGTGCAGTTTGCTAAATAAAATCATAGTTTGGGAGAAGGGCAAACAAATTACTTAACTAAATTGATTCGATTAAAACTATTTAATGACTTCAGATAACAAGCAGGCTCGAAGGCACGGATTTAAGAAAGCTACGGTGTACCAATTGTCGATTGCATTTCCGTGATCGAGGCGTCAGAACTGTAAGTGTCGATATAATGGTTCCATAAAAGATTCGTTTAAAATTCGATGACCAGAAATAATTTCCATTCGCAGAATGTTAAACCGAAATCGGACACTTGCCCGAGATGTGGTCGATCGCAAAGACACGCGGCTTCTCCCTCCTCCACGTAAATAGGTTGCCATTAAAACTTACAGATACATCGCGGCGATATCGCGCGTGTCACAACCGGAAACGTCGACCGTGATCGCTTCGTTAAAAATCTTTATTCCTTACAATAATAGTCATTAGGAACGGCGATTAAGGAACACACAGAATACTCGTCCTCGCGCGGAACATGCTGAGAAAAAAATAAGCAGCGCTGATCGCGTTGTTGATTATTTAGCTGTAACTTAATGTGTAAGATAATACTATCGGAAGAACATGATTCATACTTCTTTGCGACATTCCTCATGAAACATGATGTACTCAATTGCCGCCAAATTGCGGCGGGATGCGCGTCGCTCCGTAATCTGCTGTAAACATTATTTAAATGTAGCGCTAGCTTTGTCGATTTATTGTCGATTTTATCATTTATCTTTCGTCTTCGGTTTTGTATTCTTAAAATATAGCGTGATTTCTCGGATGTGGCTTGTTTAATTTCACGGGAGATCTCGGATCTCTCTTCTCTCACTCCAAGCGCGTGACGATAACAAAAAATATGGCAATAAAAAATCTAAAACCCATTAAAAACTACGCGATTAGAAAATACACGTGGGTGGTCTTCTTAATCTCACTTTCAAAATAAATATAGTAAATATTTAAACGCGAGACACTTAATCCAATATAAATTTGCACGCAAACGTGCCTTGCAAGCGAGCCGCTATTTAAATCGCTATTAGATCGTTAAAAAATAGATACTGCCAACGATTATACGTGGTTTCAAAAAAAAAAGGTAACATGGCATTGATAAAATGCTATAAAATAAAAAAAAATTGCGCGAGTCATATTGAGCTGTAGGTTGAGAAAACTGTGATGAGTTTAACACTTACACTAAAAAAAAAAAAAGAAATTTTTGTGCTACTTACTAGCTACCTACTACTAACTCTTTGGCAGCAAGGTCACTAATTAAAAACGAAAAATGTGTCTAATGAATGCCCCATTAGTAAACATAAATAAACATAAAAACGCCGCTGTTCTCTATAAAACCTACGTAAAGTCTCAAAAGTGAGGAACGAAAAGAGGGGCGGAAAGGAAGAAAAATTACAGCTGGGCGCGAACGGTTTCCTGCTTCAAGATCGGCCTGGGGCGTTTCTCGTCGTTCCCGTCGAGCGGGAAAAAGCAGGACGTCGCGTTTTCCGCGTTCGTGCAGATCGGCGTGAAGTTCAAAAGAAGAGGCGAGTAATTTTGCGCTGCGTAGCACGACGCGGCGGGTTTGTTGATCGTGCGCGACGTCGCGTCGTTGCTTCCCGTTGCTTTCAGGACTCCAGCGCGCCAGAATTCGTAGTCGCTGCCGAGCTTCTCGCCGACCTGGACGGGGCTCGGATCCGTCGACGCGATCGATCCGTGGGCGCCGATCTGCTCGTTGCGCCCGAACGACCGACACTCGTAGCCGTCGCGAGCGTGATGGGAGACGAGCGAGGATTGCGGATAAGCTACCACGTCCTTGGAATAGAGATAAGTCGGCGGCTTCTGCAGCAGCACGTAACACGGATAATTCTGATAGCGAACGGCCGCGATCGGCCGGGTCTGATCGGCCACTTTGTTGGCCAAGAAATTGTAATAGGTCGGGCAATTCGAGACGCTGGAATCGCCCGAGTATTGGTATCCGTTGAGCAAGGGAGGCTGCGACATGGGATACGTCGTGCCGTTCTCCCAATCGCGCGGCGACTTGCTCGGCATTTTATCCAGGAACAAGCTCTCATCCGAGGTCTTCGGGCTGCCGGAACTCGTGGGCGAGTTGGGCAACGGCGGCACCAGATTCGAGTTCCACATGTCGAAGTTGGGAAAGCTGTCCGCGTCCTTCTTCCGTTGCGCCTTGTCCTGGAAGTGGTAATACCCGTTCAGCGGCTGCACGTTGTCGTTGATGTCCATGAACACCATCTGCGGCTTCTTGTCGTCGCCATCCAGCGATGAATCGTCCATGGACGACATGGCCAGCATAGTGGAATAGCGGGTGGTGTTGCAGTTGCGATTGATGGACTTGCTGAACGGTCCGCCGTCGGTCTTGCCGCCGTTGCCGCCGTTTGGCGGGCAGATCGGCGGAATTTGCTTACGGCCGCGATTAGAATCGTTCGGCGTCGGCGGTGCCGGCGGCGTGGACGCGGCCTTCTTGGACTGCAGGTACTTCCGCGTGATCTGCACGTCGCCCTTGTCGTCGACCGTGCCACGATCTTCGTACTAACGACACGGCACGATATTACGATTCATGCGAAGAAATTAGATGTGTACCGATTCGCCGATTCGATTGACATAATCCCGAAACAATACAAAAATATCTAATGGAGAATATGCTGGATTTTCCATAGATATAGATAGTATGACTGTCTACGGAATATTTTTTTTTTCACAAAAGAAAAACGTGATAAAAATAATACAGAAAAAGAGCAGAAATATTTAACTTTAAATTAATTGATAACTATTGTCAGTGTAATCGAAGCGTGAATAAATGTCTGCCAGAATACGAAGAGAGAGGTCATCATCATCGTGAAAATCATCTGTGAGATATTTTCCGTCTTTTTCATTGTAAAATGTTATGTACATATAATACAGTGAAATAACGTCATATTGGAATGTGCACTTCATTGTTTCATAATTTCCTGAAATTTTCGTAGTTCATTGATATCAAGATCCAAATCTGGACGCATTTCAACGCCACTCATTAGATTGTAATTAATCATAATTCTTTTATGTTAAAAATGATACGCAAATAACCTTCGTGGACCGAGATAACTGTGTTTTCGAAATGTAGCGCGTCAATCGATAAGCTGTGTGGCAATATAACGTGGTAAAAATAAGTTTCGTAATCTTCTCGCGAAGCCTACTTGCCGTATACTTGTTTCCCGCGGACGATCGAAATTTTTCCGCTCAGAAATGTCCAACGCGCGAATCTCTTATTCACAGAATCCGCAGGAGTTACGAAATGTAACGTTAAACCACGTTTGTATTCCGTCAAACGTAGCGTGACACGTGTCTACTTTCAACCAACTGTGTACACTGTAAAAAAATTTTGTAAAATTACAACTATTATAGTGGGTAATTTTGAGACCCACTATAATAGGTGTAAATTTCCACACATCTGTAATTTGTGTAATTGTAATACAAAATTACTTTTTCCTTCCGAACTGTAATTTTACAAAATTTTTTTACAGTGTAAATATAAATTTCGTTGTTTACGAGAAGAAAGGTTCGCTCGCAAATACTACACGGTCTAGTTCTTATGTCTACGAGCAATGTCAACAATACAGTACAAAATTAGTGTTCCTTATTATGGGGACTCTATACAGAACAGAGAGACAGACACAGACCGGTAGGCTTGTGTTTGGAGCCACGTACCATTTCAGCCTTGGCCAGATAAACCCAGAGCCTGCGCCACGTGCCGAACTTGTTCTGGTCGCTGAAATTGTAGCGCATTTCCGTCGAGGCGTACCGGGTCGATAGAGGGCTGCGATAGTCGCAATGATCGTCGCTCGGCACTTTCGAGGCACTCATGGTTGATCGACGAGAGAGAGCAAGAGAAACCGTCTGACACGACCGCGTGAATGAAACTACGCGCGATCAGCTGATACCTCGTCATCTGGCCGAGTCGCCGAGACTGAGGGCGATTGATTAAAATACAGCGTACGAGCGCGCCTCGTCTTGGAAAGCACGCGAACCTGCTGCAAACGGGTCGCCGTTCAGCTCCGCCGATGCTCCAGCAACGAATAAACCCGGAGACGAATTAACTTATGATATAAGGCCCGGTGTTCATAGCCAGATCTTATATTTAAGATCGTCTTAAGTCTGATCGAAAGCAGTCTTAAGACTCCGTCCGACTATGAATAACCGCCCGTTAAGGACGTTCTCTTGTCCTTATATTAGAAAATCGATTTTCTTAGAATTTTCTTGAAACTGTGAATATACATTAATTTAGGTGTGCTTTATGCGTGGTATAAATTGCAGTACCGCTTCCGATATAAAAAATAAAGATACTGAACCTCAAAGTTAAAAAAAAAATTTTTTTTAATTTAATTTTTTTTAGTTTTGATATTTTTTCCTTATAGAACTCGACGAGAGAAGCAACTTTGGTCCTTTTGGCCAACCTCGTATCTCTTACCGTTTGGCCTGGAAAACCTTTTCATTAGTAAAAGTTGAAACTTTGTGGCTCAGTATCTTGATTTTTTATACCGGAAGAGATACTGAAATTTAATACCACGCATAAAGCACACCTAAATTAACGTATATTCACAGTTTCAAGAAAATCCTAAGAAAATCGATTTCTAGTATAAGGACGAGAGAACGTCCTTAATTACATGAATGAACTCAATAAACGCGACGACGAATGAACGCGGCAACGAGTAAACGAAGCGACAAATAAACCCAACAACGAATGAATGCAAGCAATGAATGAACGCAGCAACAAATTAACAATGAAATTATGGCTGCATTGCGATATTTACTGTCAGTACTGAAAATCTATATTTTTCTGTATTTTGCGTCACGTGTACTATAGATTTTCAGTACTGACAGTGAATATCGGAATACAGTAACACTATAGTGCTGATTCCAAGTGAGCAGTTTGGCTGCAGCCTCTTCAGACAAATAAAAAAAGAAGAAAAAATTTACTCTGACACTAAACATGAATCTATCTTAAATATATAGGCGTTAATTCAGAGTTTACGTCAAATTGCAAGCTTTCACAGGTATATGTTTTATACAATTTAAATTGAACAGTCCCAAAAAAGAAATAAAATTAAGTAAAAATACGCAGGATATAATTCAAACTAGATATTTCGGAGCTGACTAAACGACGATAACAATACATTTTATAAGATTTTTATTTCAAATCTTTCACCTGTTAATTGGACTTTGTTAGGCAGGAATTCATCGTTCCAGCACTTTAATCGTGGCAATAACAGTAATATGCGCATCCCAATATGACGTACAGTTCAACGAAAAAAAGGAAAATTCTATAAATCTTATCATAATTCATTATTGTCCCTCTTCATTCTTACAACTTAAATTGAAGCAGTGCAAAAGGAAAAAGAATTTATATCAAATTATAATTGTAAGAAACTTAAAAGAAATCATGACTATTTTGAAAATTACCACGCACGTAAAAATAAAAAAATGATAATTAATTTTCAAATAAAAATCGGTCGAAAAAGCAAACTCGCAAAATTGGAGTAGAATTCAGTGCTTCAATTTCGATCGTTGAAATCTGATATCATTTTTGTTCAATAAAAAAATAAAAGTTATAATTATAAATTTCCTCCTCACCACGTTAGAAGGATTCCAATCGACACGCGCCCATTCGACGTGTACATCGTTGCATTTGAAGAGCCTTTCAGGCCTCAATTTTCGTCTCGCCAAGGCTGCGTTGCGATGCGATTTGAAGGAAACTATAGCATAGGCCGCGTCATGATTCGGAAATCGATAGATAGATACGTACTCGATATCCCATGCTGACGCATAAATCACCTAATTGCATAATGAAAAAAAAAACAACAAATTAACATTTTCAGAATAAGAATTAATCGAGTAAACATGCGTGTATTAATTTAGAAATTACGATATTACGTAATAATACATTCAGTATGAAAAAAAGAATAAAAAGTAAAACCTACTTTTCAAAGCGATCTTTATATCTTTGGAGAAGTTACTAAAAAAAATATACAACTCCCACAAAAAACTTTAATTATTTATAATGTTACTTATCCACTTTATATGATCTGCAATTCACGTCAAATAAGACAGAATTGTAATTATAATTTCATGTGCCACGCGATATAGAAAGCACAATGAAAATACACAATATACACATGCGTGCACGCGCATTAAAATATGCACATCAAAATAAACGGCATATAAAATTATAAATAAAATTATATTCTGATATTTGACGTAAATTATAAAATAAAAGACGACTAAAGGCTTACTCTGACGACTTCTTCCGACCCGATATGCCACGGTAGGGGACCGACGTAGAGCTTGCATTTGTTGACGCTCGCGAGGACACGTATCTTCCTGCCCGGCGAGATCTCGTACTCGTCCAGCTCGGCGATGGCGCGCGCCGCGTCCTCCGGATTTGTATACATGATGAAGCAATATCCCCTCGTCAGCTCGGCCATGTCGACCATCAGCCGAATTTGAAAGACCTCGCCGACCATTTTGAACAACGGGTACAGGGTGTCCTCGTAGATCGTCTTCGGGATCCGGCCGACGAAGATCTCGCACTCTATGCCGGGGGTCGGCCCGCTCCAGCGCATCGGCTGGATGCTGAGGATCCTCTGTCCGTTGATCTGCGTGGAGGCCAGCTTGTGCTCGTGCAGAAGCCGAAGGACGTTCTTGTGCGTTTGCAATTGCCGTCGTAAAGCGGGGCACATAAGCGACGGCTTCACGTTGATCCTCTCACTTCCTGTATAGACATTATTGAAGATATAAATGTAATATATTAGTAATACATATAGAGATAAACTTTAATAGAAGAGAATATTGAATTCTTTTTACGTTAAAGAAATATTTGTTGTTGAGAGATATCCGGAGAACCATATCAATTCATAGGCATAAATATATGCAACCATTATCTCAGAAATTAGTAATATTGTTTAAAAACAATGGAAAAAAAATGAGTTTTCGATAACAATGCAATTATTGCTTTTGAGATTAAAATGTAATAAATTTAGATATCTTAGAAACGCACAAATATAAAAAAATAACTTGAATTAATGACAACAATTCCTTTTTTTCTTTCATAACTCTATAACTTTAATGAGATATGAAACGGCTTGTACAATGCGTTGAATAGGCGATTCTCTTATGTTGCGGTACGATGTACTAATAATAAATACTGCGTCACTGTATCTATGGAGAAACGTTGCTCGAACTAACGCACATTATTGTACATACTCGTTCATGAAATACTATTCTGGAAGGCACATTTTAATTCGACCGAGTCTATATAATGAAAAACACTTCGAATGACGAACTAATGAAGAACGAAAGAGACGTCGACCAGAAATGCGAAAACAGTGTAAATACTTGTAGGTATATCAAAAATGCATTCGACATGCTTCCAGAAACAAGCGGATCTTCCTTTTCCTCCGTCGATTTTTCATTACTTTCCCTTCGACCTGGCAGTTCGCAATTGTAATAATTTCAGAATATCATTACCTTGTTAATTTACAATGACATAAAACACACATCTGGTTTGTCTGAAAATGATCTGTTTTTATTAACAAACGCTATCTCCTAGTGTCCCAGGCGTGTGTTTATAAATATTCCGTGCGAATAAAAAGCACGCGCTCTCTAATTAACGTAGACGAAAAAAAAGAAGAAGAACAAAGCAGCACATCCTCGACTTACCGTTGTCGAAATTTTCCAGGTCCAGGGACGCCTCCTGTTCCACGATGCCCACGGCATTCTCGATATCGGCGACGGAGAACTGCGGCCAGGACGCGATTTCCTCGCTCTTCGCGTTCTTCATCCGCCGAAGCTCGCGCTTTTCTTCCTTCCTGCCGCCTCTCCTCCGGTTACTTCCTTTGCGGCCCTCCCTTGATTTAGTGCTCTCCATCTTCACACACAATCCCGATCAATATAAATCGATATATCAGCTGCTTCAGAACGATCTCGATATATACATATATGCATACGTATGTATATGTATATATGCTTATGTATAAACGTACATATGCATAATATAATTGTTCTGCGCGCGCGTCGATGCGGGACCGCGTGATGATTGTAAATCGAATTATTTGTCGCGATGCGAGGAACCGGAGGAACTGATTCTGCCCGGCCAGCCCGGCGAGAAGACGAGCCGGATAAGCCCGATTATGCGCTCGTCGAGGTGGGACAAAATAAATTCGGATGTATCGGGATTGGCGGACAATTTAGCGTGGAAGGGATAGAATTTGCCTTCGTCTCCCGTCCCGTCCTTCCTCTCCGCTCGCGCCCCCCGGCACTTCGCTATTTCGCTTCCTCCGGCTCCCAGGAGTCCCAGGGGGAACGTAGGGGTACGATCGCCGGCCGGCGGCTCGACTTTCATCTGTCAATCGCGTCGCCACGTCGGGATTTCAGATTCCACGGGCCACACACACACACGCGCCACCAAACAATCGGTATTATTGTGTGCCACGTGCCTGTGTGTATATCGGCGACACGCACGTGCGTTACGATTACGTAGTAGCTTCTAATCCAAATAGATCCGGAAGGTTCGGGGAAACTGGTGAAACGATGTTACGCCATTATGAATTATGACTTCCAAGGAGATTGTTTATACGTATAAAAAATGTAACTTTATATGTATGTCTTTTTAGCTAATGATATTCAATCGCGGACTGTACTAACGAAATACTAAAGATAAAAGTATCCTACTTCTTCATGAACTGTGAATAGTTGTCAACATTTTTTTCTTTTATGTTATTTATTTATATAGATACATATATTCTATCTAGAAGTCAATCATAATCATTGATATTATGTAATATGTCTTTTAATACTTTATATTTGTTTTATGTGTTTATCGTAATTTTATATTTCTCATTACTTTTCATCGCTCACTCTTATCGCTCGGGAATATTTGTGAATGTAATATATAACTCTTTTCTCTCTCTCTCTCTCTCTCTCTCTCTTTTTTCTCTCTCTCTCTCTCTCTCTCAATTATTAAAGTACATTCTACTTTAAAATTTATATACTTCTATTTGTCCGAAATTGTCTCTTTTACATTTAGATAAATGAAATTTCTATGAAGTTGTTCTATGAAACGCGGTGCGCTGCTCATTTTCTTTCGAGAGATTCAAATCGCCTCGTCTTTTCTCGTGAATGAGGAGATTCAAATCGCTTCGCCTTTTCTCTCGCGAGGTGTAAAGTGTCGACTGTGTCGAGGAGCGTCGAAGACAGTACTAGGAGCTAGGAGCAGAGATTTGAACGCGCGTTGCGAACGGGTTCAAGGTGCGAGGCGCGCGACGAGCCTCTCCGTGACACATATCCGCAGGTTCGCATCGTCCTGCGCCATTGCACCGTGTGATAATAGCATTGTTACTTGTGTCGTTCGCATGCAGCCAGTCCTTATTACATGACACACGGTGCCGCCAACCTGGGCAACTGCGCCTTCGCTATATCTTCTCTTGTCAGTCGTCGCTCGAGCGCGTCGCGACGCGAAGCCTTCTTTTTCCGTGTTACCTGTCTTGTGACTGCTACAGGTGATAATATACTGGTTTTCACTTATCGAACAGTCAACTGGAACGTTAGAGATAACGGTAGAACGTTCCAAGCGACTAAAACTATCAATTTATTTGTAAAAATAACACTTTTTAGCACTCGAAAAAGTGTGAAAAAACGCAGACGTTTCAGGAAAATTATTTTTTCATCAAAATACAATTTTTAAGTTTGTATTTCATTCAAATTAATTTACTTTCTGTGTAAAATAATTTTTTTGTTTTACCGATATTTGTAATTTAAAAACGTATTTCATGTATAAAGTGTATGTAAACTTTCTTTTTCGTCAAAAATTTTGTCATTTTTTGTAATATTCACAGATAAACGGACAGTATTGTGCAGATGTAAAAAAAATACCATTTATTTTTTTAAATTGCAAATTTTTTAATCGTAAATCTTGAAACTGATTTATGTTACGTGTTTTGCCGTAAGAAACGCTTAGTTATACAGAAATTTTTATCCCGTTTCTCCTATCAGAATGTGACTAAATTTTTCGTCCCTACAGCCAATGACGTATCCTCGCGACAGAAACTGATTGTTAAGACGAATACTGGGATTTCAAAGGAAAATGAGAACGGTTTGTTAATAGCCTGAGAAATCACGTAATGCTTCGCCGAAAAGAGACGACACTTTCGCAAACGGCCGCTTGTTCACCGTTCCTTTAGTTCGCCTAGTAGCGCGTCTTTAGTGATCGCATCATGTGGAACCGCAAGGTGTTCATCAGAATAATCGAAGTGGTACGTAGATGTATCTTCAGTTTAACGCGTAAAAATTAATTTCGCCATTTATTAATTTAGCCTTTGCTGAGAGTTGAAATTAATGGAATTTCAATGCGTTCAGATTTTAAAATTGTCCACACTAGGTAAAAAATAAACTCATCAATTTTCTATTTAGTTTTTAAATTTTGCTTCTGGAAAGATAGCCGAGTCTAAAGTCAGCTAAGTCTAATGTCTACATTTCTATAATAGCAATAAATGTGCTAAAACAATTATCGATTTGCGTAACGATCCGTGACACTATAATGAGGCAGTGACTAGTGCAAGATATATTTTCCTATATTTGTATGTTAGCTCAAACTTTATCGGTAAATACTTTATCGAACCTATCGATTCGAATTCATGATTCTCCGACATCTTCTGCAGAATTGTAAAATTAGGAGAGCTGTGTGCGTGTGCGTCAAACATTGCAGCTCCTGTGCGTCGCCTCAAACGTTAAATATTTTATCGAAACAATATCGATTCGAAACCTCTCGGTGTTAATTACACGATTCTCCCATATCACCTGCGAAGTTACAATGAGACGAGAAGAAAAATCGCGTGCGTCGAATTGCAGCTCCTGTGCGTCGCGTGCGTCGTGGCGCTTAGAGTGACGGACGATGAGAGCCGAAGGGTGTTCCATTACCTGAGGAATCGCAGCAGGGAGTGGTCGCTGCTGAACAACGTGACGTGGGGCAGCATAGGTACTTACGTAGAAAAAAAGAGGAAGTGTCAAATCAAAACTTATACACTGATCGTATATACGCAACAATCTATAATCTTCTTATAAGAATTTCAACCTTTTTCTTTTAGTCAAACCAAACTATAATATAAATAATTTTCTTCGCGCAATATAATTTCTGATCTCATTTCAGGATTATAGACTGTTGCATGTAGATATACGAATATACATATACATCTTGATTTAACACCTCTTTTTTTCCGTGTAACTCGCATGATTCAAGCACCCGGATCCTGGCTCTCTCGCGTGTCGAGCGTCGACTCGCGAGTCACTGACGAGTCACACTCATTTCCCGTATTTCCGTGTATTTCAGGCGCTGCCCTCGCGACCGCGACCTGCGGCGGATACATCATCATAACGACGGGTCTTTTGATCGCCGCGGCGACCGGGGAGCTCCGCGGCCGAAAGACGGTAATTGCTTTCCTTTTTTTTTTCCTCTCACTCCATTTCTGTGACACGGAATGCGTCGTATAGCTGCGTTTCGTAACACACTGTGTCAACGGAACCATAATGACGCGGCAGCGTTTTGATTGTACGAAGAGCGGGAGAGATTGGGAGAGCGAATGTTAGAAAAAAAAAGAGGAAAAGAAATCGCGGCATATATTGTACTTCCAAAAAGCTACGAATCTATTTTGGAATGAAGTTGCTTTTCTGGATTGATAGATGGGGCGTCAATATGTCTCTGTCTTCGTCTGAGAAAAAAGAAAGTTGACGCAAGCTCGCTCTGACAAGCTTTTCATATTTACGCTTTTTTCTCTAGAATTTGTTAAAAAAGGGGGGAACTAAAGATATTTATGTAGTAAAATAAGATTTATCTCGCTTCTTCATCAGTTTCTATCGTTAATAATAAACTACGTTAATAATAAATCGCGCGGAGTCATCCCTGTCAGCAAGAGCGAAGACGTTTTGCCGCGGGAATAGCGACAGAAATTCCACGTGCAGCGCATTGCAGAAGAGCGATGGCGGGAGCGGGACTCGTCTCGACCGCGCCGACGGCGCACCGAGATCCTTCCCAGGCGCTTTTAATTTATTCCGAGGTTGGTCGTGTGCAAAGTGAAAATATACCGCGTAAATCGCGGCGATAACGGTGGCGTGAGAAAATCGGTAGCGCGACGCGCGCGAACTACGAAGGTGCCATTGAGGGGGCCAAGGATAAGAGAATATTCTCCTCAACGCGTGCCGGACTCGCCCCGCCGCAACGTCCGTCGTCCACGTAATCGCAGCCTTGGTCAGTCACGACACGTAACGTAACTCATTTAAATGAGTCATAACTGAGGTTGGGACCGGCCGATCTTGAACGGGCTGCATAATGTGCGTTATATAGATATTTCCTGTATTCCCGCCGTGTCCCGCAATACAAAATAAATACATCGTTCGAAAACCGCAACGGCACGCATACCGATCTTCGCGTTCCGGACAGCCCTGAGCTCGCAATACTTACTTCGTACCGATTGTTTTCTTCTTTTCCTCCTTTTTTTCCTTTCGTCGCAAGGTTGTTGGATAATGAGTTTTCATGCATAATCAATCGGCCGCGCCAAGCGTAAATAGATCGCGTCGGCGCTAAAAAATCACGCAGGTGTAACGGATCTAACAAGCCCGATTGAATCGCAGGAATTTTTCCTCCTCGGCCTGGGTGTGATTCTCTTCGGGATAGTCGGCGCCTTGTCGTTGGCGTCCATCGACAGCGTTCCCGAGGACCTGGTTGACAATGCCGCGGTTTTGGGCGCGCTGTGCTTGATCACCGCGTTGGTGTTCATCGGAGATTTGCTGATGAGCCCGCCCCGCCAGAAGGACAAGCAGGACGAAGCGCGAATCCTCGAGAAAGGTACGATTATTAATTAAATCAATTTGATAAAAAAAAATTATTAGATTAAATTGGATTATACATACATATGTATATATGCCTTGATGGGAATATTTTAATGAAAATTATAATGAAATTTTACTGAAATGTATTCGAAATTTTCTCTTTATTTCATTATTTCCATCAATATTTCAGTAAAAATTCGGGTTTCAGTTAAATTCAGTAAATTTCATGGTATCTAATATTTTGAAAAATTTGTTATTACTTTTGTGCGAATAGTATAACTTAACTTTCCTTATATTTCACATTATTACATTTCATAAGAAAAATTATGATTTATTTTGAAATATATTCAGTAATTTTTCTGTAACTTTTATCTCATTTTTCACCAATTTCGTAGTACTTTCAGCAAAATATTTCCATTAGGGTACGTATATATATAATCTACATATAAGCAAAATAAGATATATTAAATATCAAAAGAATTCTGACGCAACGCTCTGTTTATGGAAGACATCCCAATGCAATTATTGCGGCTTATTAATCCTTATTAATCTTTTTATCTACTTTGTTTATACTTTCAAGTAAGATTTTTTAATAAATTTATCTATTTTTAAAAAATAATATATTTTAAAATAGAGAAACGTCAGGTGACGCCGGTGGTGACCGCCGAGGACGCGAAAAAGTCGAAACCAACCGTCGTCAAGATCCCCGAGGACGAGAACGGTCGCGTGAACGATGCTTTCCAGAAGGCGGAAGGTCGCTCCGATTCCGCGAGATCGCAGCAGGAATCGCCCGGTACGCGTCCGCGGGACACCCGGGACGATCGCGAGCTTCGCGGCGATCAGGAGCCGCGGGAACGCGCGCAGAATTTCGAGAATGGCCGAGCTCTGCGCGACTCGCAGCGGTACCGGGAGATCGAGGTGCCGCGTACGGTCGCGTACGATCCCGATCGCAGGATCGAGGAGTCCAGGATAATATACAAGAGCCGGGACATCTATCAGCGGCCGATCGACGAGCTCGACACGCCGCGCTTCCCGACCGAGTACGAAAAGGGCGACCCGGTCTTCGCGAGGATCGTCAATCCGAGCGTGAAGATCATGAAGGTCGAGCGAGACGTCGAAGAGGCGCTCGATAACTACAACAGGTGATTTCTCTCGCGTACGGAGACTCCCTCGGTTCGGAAATTTCATTTAAGCGCCGGCAATGCCTGGCGTCAGTCATCTTGGATCACCCTGTTGGGGCCACGAAAACGCACGCGAACGATTCTTGCTTCTCGCGCGAATTATTTATTTTTAATGTAATATTTATAAATTTATTTAATACTTAATATAATTTATTTATATTATTTTATTTAATATTTAATATATTTATAAAAAAAACTGAGAGCGCATTTCGCCAGGTTATGAATTCTTCATCTTTGAAGTGAGTTGATTGACATTAAATTGTGTAAGATAATTGTTGCGTGTCTCATATTTCTCACTCTACTTCCTCCAATATTCACAAAACAATTAAGAACTGGAAATCTTACTCAGAATTAAGATACATCGAAATGGAGAATTACTTGCGCGGACGTGAGTCGTCAGAATCGCTCGCGCTCCCTCGTTTCCGACGTTATGATTCAAGATGCGTGACGCACCGAGAGTGCCGGCTCTTAAATATAATTTTGTTTGAACGGCGAGCAGATATTCGGACAACAGCCAGTACGACAACGTGCCCACCAGGATGCGAGGACATTCCGGGATCCTGAAAGGTCATCAACGCGACGTGTCCTTCAACGTGCCACCTCCGCCCAAGGATTATCGATCCAAAAGATCCAAGGACGACATTGAGATGCTGGACGAATATTTCGGCGTGCTGAGAACCACCGGCACGCAGACTGCAAGGTCACCGTCCTCGCCGACCGATCCGGGATACGTTCGGCACACTGCAAGTAACTGGCCGCAGGACGTTAAGTCGAGCACGCCGAGACCTAGCCCGGAACACTCGAGAATTTAACCCTTTCATGCACACGCGGGCACTCTTTCTCTAATTACAAATTAATTGGCCAATTTTAGTTTAGTAAGAACATTAATTATTTTTTTTCTCTAATTAGTAAAATTAATAATTAAAACTTGAAGATTTTTTCTTCACTAACAAGTACTATCTCTTATAATTATTATCTGTATTCTGTTATCTCTGTAATTTAATTTGTTAAATATTTTCACAAATAATTTAGCCATGAAAGGATTAAAGCAAGATGCAATAATCGTTGATATTATATGTACTCTTCGATATTTTACAAGATTTTTGTATAGAGACGTAATAACAAAGGGACAAACCTCGTTAAGTCCAAAAAGATTTTACACTCTCGAAAAAAAAATGTTATAAAATTGAACAAAAATTTTTTATGTACATACATAATTGACTCGAGACTCATTTGATTCTTCGACTCAAGCTCAAATTTCAAGATAATGAAGCAAAATGTAGATTTTTGGACTTAATTATTGTGTATTAGGAACACGCGAGATGCCACAACGCATTTATATTTAAATAGTTAATTATAAATAAATTAGAAGAATAGCTGTATCACAGAACTGCAATAATTTCGGAGCCTTAATAAGCCTCTCAATATTTTCTGTTGGTTTACGTATGCGTTATTTTTGAAAGTTTTACTTTGCAGACCTGTGCAATAGTCGGGATTGCGAGATAAAACTCGGGAAGGAATAACACATCTGTTTTTTTTTTTACACGTAAAAATTTCAATATAAAGTTAATATCTTCGTTCACATCTCATACTTCTATATGCATATACGTACAATTATTATTAATAATCTGATGATAACATATAATCGCTGCATGGTTAGTCATCTGTTCAACACTCATCCGGGACGTGTGTTAATATCAGTGTGTTAATATTACACCGCCGCGATTGATATAATTTTTATTCGCGTTTACGCCTTGTCTGTGTTTTCTTTATGTGTGTAAACTCGTTAAAACGTATAAATAAATGCTATACAAGTCCATCGTTTCAAGTCACCCGATATGGACGATTTAGATACTTGAGCATTCGTTCTTTTCTCCTTCACGATCCTTCCTTCCAGCGAGTCCTACGAATATCCCTGATGACGGATTAGCTGCACCGTCGTCCGTTACGGCACGGGCTGGTACATTGGAACGAGCTTATCCCACTTGGTACCCGATGTAGCTTTTGAACTCAAGGTCGGTATACCTCACGCAGGTCACGTTAAGAACAATGCCGTGATTTATATTGGCTACACTCGCGGCATCGCGCTATACGTTACGGTACATTAATCGAGGGGCTTGGTTACCGCCCTGTGCAGATTGACTAATCCGGATCGGATATCATCAGTCGCGAAGGAGGATGCGCCGCGTTAGGCGAGGATGCTTATCTCATGCCGAGCCCGATACCGGCACCACCTTGAGCGTTGGATGTCCTCTGCTCCATGGTGATGTACTGTCTGATGAGGCGGGAGATCTCATGGGCCTGCTCCGTCTGCAGCCTAGTGATACGCTGCTGCATCAGATTGCCGCACTTCATGTCGAGGTAGAGCGTGCCCTCTTCGGACTTGACCTTCCTGGTGGAGATCACCTCGGAGTAGGGGTAATGGTACAGCGTCTCCTAAAAGACGCGGGACACACGATTAAATTACACGCGGAGGAAAATCACCGTTACGTGGGAAAAGGACAAAAGGAGCGGAGCTACTTACATGCGTGATCAGATCTATGAAGTGTACTCCGTGTCGATTGAGAGCGAGAATGTGATCGGCGCCCTTTTCCTTGCCCTCGGGTACCCTCTTTACCGCGAAGAAACTCGAGCCGAAAAGTGGCCACTTGGATAATATTTCTAAAGAAAAAGAAGACACATGTATGTATATATACATTTAATCCAACGGCCAATTTTTGTCATTTTGCCAAACAACAATTTTTTAAACTCTGCTATTGTTTGAGTTTTTGCTTGTATATTATAGATATTAAAGCAACTTTGTAATACCTCCTTTTATCGTTCACATAATTAGAAGCTAATTTAATGGGGTAGAAAGTTTTCCAGTCTCGAAACGTATAATCTCGATTCGAAGTCGACTTACCGAGCACCTGCGCCTTGCAAACAGCCGCCGAAGAGTGCTGAACGTTATTCCAGGCTTGCTGGACCATGTTCGACCATTGTTGCGGCCTGGGTTCCCTCAAACTCAGCGCTGGTTTTGGCAACAGATATTTAATCTCTTTCGTCGCGGGCTCGTGCGTCATGTCAGCCGCTCTGTGTAATAGCGCTGCTATTTGCGCCATGTCGTACTACGGAACAGGCACGTCGTTAACTGCGTCGTTTATTTTCCTCCGCGGTCGAGCTCGAGCTCTCAGGCAGACGTTAGTACTTACAATTATTTCCTGAGGTAAATGTTCTCCAGGTAGGACTAGCAAAAGTCCCTCCAGGTAATCGGGAGCGATTTGGTTAAACACGACTTCTATATACAACGCTGCGTCCAGCCGCAAAGGATAGTACCAGACAGATCTAAAAAGATTTTTTAGATAACATTATTTTCGACCAAGTCACATAAAGGATGCTGTTAGAATTTTAGGTTTTTTGAAAACGGTTTTGTAGCAATAAAGATTATTTAGTTTGTCGTATTTATATTAAAATAAATATAATTTAAAAGGCTCACAATTAAAAATTACACAATTAAAAATTAAAATAAATATTTTTCCGTGAATTTTCTCACCTTTTCCGCATTATTTATATTTATTTTGATACCAGGGTGATATAATAAACAGAATAATTTTCATCACTATAAACCCAAAACAATTATTCTCTGTACTTTATACTTCAGACATATCGCGTCTTGAATCACGTTAGACTTTAGCTTTATTATTATTATTTTTTAATAATAATAATCTCGTCAATTTGCAAAATATTTCTATAGGTATGAACAAAAAAGTTGTCTGTGGAAGAAATTTCTGCGCACATTAAATAAATAGGAATTATAGAATTACTACGAGCTAGGAAAGAGAATACTCGGAGCTTTGTAACAGCGGAAATTCACCGTACCTGCAAAATATTAAGTAGAACACTTGGTGGTTTTTCTGGAGCTCCGTAGTCACGTCAAGGACGTACTCGTCCCTGGCCAACGGCATGGTGAACGCGTCGCCGTCGACGATGCAGTACAGCGAGAACTCGTCCATCTCGTGCGGATTTCTCACGGAGATGACGCTGCACATCTCCTCAATAACGTCCTGCACGACAGTCGTGCATTTCGTGTTAATGACCCGCTCGGTGCCGCCGGGCAGCCGGTAGATCTGCCTCTTCGCGTTCCTGCCCGCGCTGATCGCCATGATCTCCTCCACGCTGGGCACGTTCTTGCGCCCGCCGTACTTCACGGTCTTACGCAGGTTCTGCAGGCACACCATCGCGGTGCCGTGATAGGCGCGACGCTTGTCGTACGCCGCCGTCTCGAGGTATTTCGTCAGGTAGGGCCTGAGGCCGTCGCTGCACGTGAAATAGGCGGCGATGATGCTGAAGATCCGCCAGCCGCGCTGGCAGCTCTCCGGATTCGGGCTCTTGTTATTGGTGGTCTGCTTCATCAGTTGGCAATAAACCTCGTCGCGCAGCGATTCGTATTTGTGACAGTGCTGTGGACAGTGCGCGAAGATGTAGGTTTGTTAGAAAAATCGCGTCCTTCAACGCGATGGGAAGAATATAGCGGTCGCTAAAATTAGCGCGAGAAGACAAAGGTAATGACGGATAATAATAGGTAATCGACAATTTCCGTTTCTTACCAGGGATTTCAAAGGTAAATCCACGAAGAAACGGCATTATACGAAAGTGACTCAACACTCAGAAAAATACGGAATAGTTTTCGTTTCGCATTCACGTTCCTAGAAGGAGGCGAAATCGAAAATAATCCTATTTTAATCGCTTTTTTTTCTTTATGTGCCTCCATCTTCTTCTATTTGAATTCCTTATGTACTTCTAAGTCTCCAATTTCAATTTTTGCCCAGGTCTTCTTCAGTTAACATCCAAAAATAAACTAGGAATAATTTTAATTCTGTTCGAAGTTTAATCTTACCATGAGGATGGTGTAGACACACTTGACTTCGCTGGTCTCAGGCGGCAACGGTTGATCCCCCATGTACCTCATCAGGCACAGGAAGCACTCCACGGCTAGGACGCTCAGATCCGCGTCGAGCCTGAGCAAGCTCTGCTCGATGGGGACGGTGGAATACTTGACGAGGTCCACCTGTTCCTTCCAGGTCCACTCGGTGCCGTCCTGCTGGCCCTTGCCCTTCTTGTTCTTCTTCTTGCTCTTCAACGACTCGATCACCTTGAGGGATCCGCTGATCGATCCGTCCGCGGTCTTCAACATCTCGAATCTGCGCAGGACGCGTTCGTTAAATCCGCTCGTTTGTGCCGCGCGCGATAAGCACCGACTGGTCGGTGCTAAATACGGAACCAGGAACGATACGGAAAAAAAGGAGACACCGCGGTGCACGGTCGAAATGATATCGCACGACGGGCCGCGTTATGCTTTCTCAACACGACTCGCTTGCGTAACACCGTTAATAGTTGTTTCGCATTAATTTCCATACGATCGACGAGCTTGCGTGTGCACTTAATATATCACCAGAATTGAGAAAGGAACGATCACATTTTAATTAATTAGACGCCTCGCCCCGTCGCGATTTCCCCGATAGCAGATAAATCTTTATCATTTTTTCTCTTAATTAACAAAATGAGTAATAAATATGACTTTAATACGTTGGTATATAGATTAACTTTAATCTTACTTTTCACCTCTTTCTAATTCTTAGAACTAGAAAAAAAGTAAGTTAAGCCGAGATTAAATTTAATCTATAATTAGTAGAAATGGATATCAGAGTTGTTCAGCGGTTCGAATTGTGACATTAACGATATATTTAACACTTTTCAAATAAAATCGATTTTCCGAGAGCATTCTCAATCTGGGATCACTTTTAACCCTAGACAGACTCACTGGGGTAATACGTTACCCCACGCAAAATTCAAATTTGCATCATTTCAGGCAAATTTTTGGTTCTTTATTTTGTTTTTCGAAATTTTTTTACTGTTTTTTTTTTACTACCGCAAATTGATGACTACTATCGTCTTCCCTATTAAACAACAAACAAAATTATCTATTATAAAGTTTTCTAAGAACATTCTGGAAATATTATACACGCGGTACAAGTTTGGGGTAACGTATTACCCCAGTGAGTCATTCACATATGAGAAAAATAAGTGAGTCTGTCTAGGGTTAATTTACAAACGCGCTGCGTAAATTATGTCAGAAATATCGACTCACTTTTCTGTGCTCTGACGGAAGTTCAGCATGGCGTACTGCAAAAGGGAATGCTTGCCGTCGTTGACCACCGGCCCGGTCTCGTAGATGCCGTCCTCCTGGAGTCGGAGATTATCCTCCGGCTGCCGCCACTCCTGGCTCGGGCTCAGCTGCTGGTTTTGCAGGTTTTTCTGATGGTTCGCCTGGTTGACGGCCGACACGTGGTTGGGCACGCGACCGATCGGTACGTGATTCTCGTGTTCGGTGATTACGTGATTGGAATGGTTGTGGGACTGAATGTGATTCGCGTGATTCGCCTGCGACTGTATCGTCTTCGTGATTTGGGACACGTGATTCTCGTGATGATTGATCCTCTGATGTGGTTTCTGATCGATCTGCAGATCAAACGAGCAATTCGTATATCGATTGTTATAGCAATTGGAAACCTTATTTATTATTTAAAAATCTGATTGACTCACACAACAACGTAATCTTTTATATTATTACTCCGTATTAGGTATATAGTAATATCCAACAGTTTCCGGCTTGAAGATATAAATAAGGTGGTAAAACGAAAACAACGATTTTTATTTTTTAATGTAATTATCCTTTATTTCAATAATTTTTTTAAAACAATGACTTTTTCTATATTACCAAAAAAATATCCTGAATTTTTATCCTTAGTTTAACATTAGCCTCTGATTTAACTCCTAGTAATTATTTTGTATTTTTAAAATTCAAGTTCGATTTGCGCGGAAAAAAATTACCAGTGATGAAGAAGTGATTTCCGCGGTGTTAAACCATTTTAAGGACAAAAATTTAGAATATTTTTTAGTGATGTAGAAAAATAAATTCATTATTTTTAAAATGTATTGAAATAAAGGGTAATTATATAAAAAAATAAAAATAATTGTTCTATTTTATCACTTTTTTTCATATTCTTAGGCCGGAAACTTTTGGACTTAATTACATATATTGCGTATACGCCTGCACTTAGTTTTTCATATCTATCGTTTATCATTCCCCTCATAAATACTCGACGTTAGCGCGCGCGCGACGGATCGTTTTCTAAAAGTATACAGGGATGCGAACCAGACCCTTTGCATCGCTCGAGGCGCATACATCGGGTAATCGCGAGAAGCGATCTCGTTTACGAGCTGGCAAGGCGAATACATTTTTCGCGCTTCTCTATTTCTCTGTTTCCGCGCCGCTCGCGTTTCCTTCTTTTCCTCGATGTTATCCGCGCGCGATACGAAACACGATCGATCTTAGCACGCAAAGTAAACGGGTTTCTCCCCGCGCGCCGGTCGTGTACCGCAATCTGGTATACAGGAATGCGACGTGACACGATCATCGGGTGTAGGCGATTCCTTCTTTTCAGGCCTCGCCGCGCAAAGAGACCAAAAAAAAGGACGGGGAAGGGGGAAAGGCGTAAATGTAAGGCGTAAATTAACAGCGACTTCCGAGACAACGCGCGCGATTTCTCGAGCGTTTTTGCCGCGACGCGGCCGTTCGAGCGGATGCCGGACGCTTCGGCGAAAGGGGTGCCGGGTCACTCTTTTTTAGCTCCTTTCCGCTTTCGTTGATTATGATTAAGGAAGATACGCGACGGAAAGTAGGTGATTGCATCCTGCATTTCTTAATATCCTCAAGAGTGTAAGTTGACGACGGTGACGGCTTCTTCGATATATCTGGTAGAAACCCGACGCCTCGCGTGTGTTACATGTTTCTCCCTCCTCTCTCTCTCTTTCTGTCTTTCTTGCAAATAGAAAAGATCGATCATGCTCGCGGACAGATATCAAGTGGAAATAGTTCACCAACGTGATAGCTAACAGGTAGAGCCTGTCATATCAATTCATATAGAGGGAAATGTGGAAAAAAATCCATACTAGACGGCCTTTGCGAGAGAAATCCAGTGGAACCAGGGGCAAAACCGGACGATCAACAGCGACAGGTTGATAAAAGCTTTCAGCGAGACTTGAAATGTGTGGATTTTTTCATTGACTTATGCGAAAACAAGCGGGCAACCTATTCGATGATCGTTCAATTTAATTCCGCTTTTCCTCTAAGCGAGAATGAAGTTGAGAGAATCCATCAAACGGACGGAATGTTGAGTCGCGATTTCGCTCTGAACAGGGAGCGGTGTACGGTGTCTCGGCGCGTAAGTGACACCGGGTATATCGATACTTCGGAATCGACGAGAGCGGAATGCGCGAGCGGGATATAAGCAGACGTCGACCCTGACCTACATAATCGTTTAATGCACCGAGACGCGACGTAAGACGTTGATGCGGTTGCTACGCGCGTCCAAGTAAGCCATATTGCGACAGATAATAAGCGCAACGGTCTAACGATTTCCGCGGCGGCGGCGGCGGCGGCTGCTGTTATTATCGTGGCATAACTGTGATGTAAAGAGGTGCGAAGTACGGCACAAGCGGCGGGGTTTCAGGTAGGCGAAGAGGTACAAAGAGTGACAAACGTTGCGAAAACGGACTATACTGGATGACAATCGGGAAGTTGTTGAAACTGAATAGCTGTTATTTTCGAATGATGAGTGGACAGGATAAAATGAATTAAACATTACCGCGCAGAAGAAACTTGTCATTTTTATTAGCACATAAATTCGTGCGAGAAGAATGTATATTTATGAACTTGTAAAAATAAATGTTTCACGAAATTTAACTGCGCAGTGATATATCATGATCAAAAGATTAGGACACGATTTTTGAATTCTTGAATTCTTCGAAGACACAGTTACATTTATTAATGTTACAAAATATATAAGAAATATATAGAATATATTCAATAGTTTTCAAACGTGTCATTAAATTCAGCTAATCGTCATTTTGAAAATATATATTACTGAGTTATGCAATCAGCCGAATTTCTCCCTCTTTATTTTATAATATTTATTTCCACATATGTATATTCTTTTTGCACGACATGCTAATAACAATGATAGGTTTTTACTGTAGTATAATTTAATTGATTAAACTCTGTCAACTCGATCGTTACAAAATAACTATCTAGCTCCAACAACTTCTCGATCGTCACCTTATACGTTGACGGAGGAAGCAGCCTTGAATCGTCTCTTTTGAAAAGTATTTACACTCTTTCGCTTCTTATTCAGTAATTAAAATGATTAATTTCTCTCTTTATAACCATAAAAAAGTTGGAGACATCCTTGAGATGTTTATTAGGAATTTATGCAAGTTGCCTCTCGATAAAAGTCAAGTACCGTTACATCACCTGATTAATGCAAGCTTTTTTTACTCGTACCTCGCTGCACACACCTGGGCCTATTAACCATAATACGAAACATTCGCGCTCCATTTGATTTCATTTAACAGTCCATTTGATTTAATTTATCCCGTGTACGGTGGTCTCTCATCGGTGCCTTGAACGCCTCAGATTCCTGAGGATAATAATAAACGTGACGAATGAAATATACGCGACCTGATAGCTCTTGACTTTCTCGTCTAATTTCTTCAAGGTCTCCTGTATGGTGTTGAGCGTCTTGTCGCTCGTCTTGTCTTCGTTCTGCATCTCGCTGCTGTCGTTGCACGTCGTCGTCGTCGCGTTGTCGGCCTGCGTTCTAAGCTCCTCGAATCTCTTCAATATCTCCCGGACGCTCAGCTTGCTCCCGTCCGCGTTTTCCTCCGTGATGGTCTCCATCTTCGCTACCTTGCTACGTTCACCGTTAGTGCGCACGATGATTTGTTCGCCTTCGTAAAACTCCTGAATCAAATTATCGTTCGTCCTTGGCTCCTCATCCTTCGGCTTCTGCTGAACCGGCTTCTTCTCCCGAGCGTTCTTCAAGGCCGCGGTATTCTTGGAATTTCTCAGCTCGCAGCCCTCTTCGATCCTGAGCTGCTCGATAGTCGGCTGACGATCGTTCGCTCGCACGATCGAATGATGCAGGAAGGTCTTCTGGTCCAGCTTGGACACGTCTATCCTGGGAATATTTTCGTACTCGAACTTCTGCTGGCCGAAGGCCTCCTTCCTGACGTTCTTGTTCACGTCCAGATGTTCGGAATCCAGCTTCTTCTTCTCCCTGCCGCCGTCTTTCGCGAAGAACTTGATGAAGCTGCTTCTCTTCGTCTTGGGTTGTCGGTCCGAATGAGACGCTTTCTCCAGAAACGCTCCGGAATCATCGGTGTGCCCGTATTCGTCGCTGCTCAATTCGGACTCGGAAGATTTCATCAAAAGACTATCGGGAGAGTTCGTCTTGCGCTCCTCGTCGGAGAGGTTCCTCATTTCGTGCCTGCTTATGAAGTTACCTTTCTTCCGATAAGCTAATTTCGAGTCTTGGATCTCGTGTTTCCAGTAACCTTCGTCCAGACGGCTGAAGGGACTCTCGGGGGTCGGTCTGCGTTCTCTCGGATCCTTTCGAGGATCCAAGACGCCCTGCCGCGCGAGATCGCCGAACTCGAATTTGCGCAGGAATTCCGAACGACGCACGATTCGCTGCACGTTGCTGAAGGATTTCGGCTCGAACTTGTGAAACTCGTTTTCCGAGGACTCGGAATAGTCGGTGAACTGATTCAGAATGTCCGGACGGTGTTTCTGTCGACGTCTCAGCGTCGTCGGCAACTCGGCCCAGTTGCTGACGAGTCTCCTGGAGAACACTCCTTCGGTATCGGACACTTCTCTCTCCATGATAGAGCTAGAAGAGAATCCCTTAACGGAAGGCATGAATGTCGACGCTTAGAAAACGCCTGCAGCTATCGCCACGACTCGTACGTGTGCCAGTTCGATGCCGTTCGACTAGCGAATTCTGTACCCCAACCTTTTCTAACGCCAAACAATCGTAATTTCACTCGGATCTTCCGAAGGATGTAGATCACGGATGAAGGACCGTCCGCGGAACATCGTGAGAAAACGCCCGGAAGAAGAAGACTCTCGTGGGACCCTCGTCGAAACAATGCGCACTTTTAATTATAATTACTTCGCGCCAGCGAGACTCTCCCCTGCCAGAGACGAGAAAGCTTTCATGCTTTCTTGGAATCGTCGCGTCGATCGTGTGTGGTCGCGTGCCTCGGATTTTCGTCTTTAATTGGCGGTTTGTTCGCGAATTTCACTTTTCACTTATTATATCCGAAATGTCGATATTCGTATCGAGTTCCAGATCACACTCGTAACGAGGTAACGGACTCTCATCGTCGCGCGACGGCCGTTGGATCTCAACTGGGGAGGAAGAAACAACGGACGAGGTCGATCATGATCTCACTTACGCAAGTGAGCCGGGCCCTTCCGACCTTACTCGCGCGAGATCGTTAGCGATCGTGCGATCGCCGTCGCCGTTCCGTTTATAATCATTACTCACCGCCGCTTCTTTTTACGCCGCTGCTTTTACACGGAGCGTGAAAGGCACAGTCTCATCCGCGGCGGAATA